GTTCATGAGTGCTTATGAACTGGTTTTGAGCATTGGAATAAACCCGTGCTTGCTGGAATCACCTTATGGAATACGATATAAAAGGTGATCGCGAGACGATAATATCATATAGTCTTAAAACCTAGATATATGGTTTATTATTTGTTAATTGATTGTGCATTGATAATGCGAAAACGCATCAGTAACTTGATGTTATAAAACGCATTGTTGTGTATAGTTGGTTAATGAATAAGTAAATGCATATAAGTCAAAGTTTATCTGTAAATTTTATCCTAAGAGGGTAGAAGAGATATCTTGGCCACTCGATGATTTGATTTGACTTATGTGCCGGGCCCGGTCAGAACTGAATTGATGTGTTCGATTAAGTTCTATGTCAAATAAATCGGAGATCGAGACTGTTCGAATAGTGTCTAAGGCTATAACTATATTCGGTGGTGCATGGTCCTTTTGGGTTGCCTTCACCATAGCAACTTGAAGGATGATTTGTTAAGAGAGAGTAAATATTATAAGGAATAATATTTAGCTATTTGATTAATATAAGTCATAAATTAATTGGTATTAATTTGGTGACTTAAAGAGATTAATTAAATAAGAGGGTATAAACTGTCAATTGTTTGATAGTTAGACTTTAGACTATAAATCCATTAGGATACACCTTGGACGGATTCTAAGAGCTTTAGGATAGCTCAAAATCGTCCATAGGGTTATCTATGGAATGGATTTGGATAGCCTTAAGAGAAGATTATCCAATTAGGGTTTAGGGTGAAGCCCTTAAGGAGTCTAATAGTATAAATAGACCCTGTGGATGAGGGAGTTCGACACACAACCTTAAGCAAGGAACCTCTGGTCGAATTCCTCCCCTCTCCTCTTTCCTAAATCATCTTGCTTGCTATTGGTGTTTGTAAGCCATTAGAGGAGTGACAATTGTGACTCTAGAAGCTCCAAGACAAACAAGATCAACAAGGGATTCAAAGGTATGATTCTAGATCTGTTTCAATATTGTTATTTAACCTAATTAGCCATTATAAGTCTTGGATTCAAAAGCATGTTTATTAGAAAGCCTAGATCCAAGCATTAGGGTTTTGCATGCACACATAGGAAAGTTCTTATGGCTAAAACCCATCACTTTGGTCAAAAGAAACACAAGGGTAAGGGAATATATGAGTTTTGAAGAAAGATAGAGGAAGAAAGGAGAATAATAAAAAGGGATGTTGCGGTAGTGGTTTGTTCTATCTCTATATACCCTCCACGTTTTCATAAACAATTCCTTAATCAAATATCCTTACTTTTCTAAGTGGGGAGATTGTCACATATGAACAACACTCTAAAGGCAATAGAGCTCCCACTATTTCTGTCATATACTTAAGCTTTACCTTCGCTTTTGATAAGATGAAAAGTATTTGATTTTCTAATCATAATAGTGACTCCTAAGTTTAAGGTGTTGATATTGAGTCCACAAATGGACCTCTAAAGCTTACACATGTTTTAGGATGTACAAAGACACTTTGGCGGTGTCATGAACACATCCTAAGTTAATCTTGATGTGATTTAGTATACTACAACATCCTATGGTGCACATACAATCCTAAATACCTTGGATCTATGTTTTCACTAATTATACATGCAAAGGTGTTTCCAAGGTATCAAGCCTATAACTAGCAAGCAATTTGACATAAACAATACAAGATACTAATTAGAGTAACATACCTTTTATGTGGCTTGAAGTCTTGATGTATTTGGTGTTGCTAGAAAGACTTTGGCCTTTAAGAACTTAGTGCCCCAAGTGTTGCACCTCAAATGGAATCACAACTCACCTAGAACAAAGGTGACCCTTGAGAGAGAATTCCATGCACCAAAACACCTCCATATTTCTCTAAGAAAAGAAGCACATGTTTTTGGTCATGAAGCAACATATTTATATGGTGGATTCAAAGGGTTATGGGTTTAACCCAAATCCATACCCATGGGTTTTATGATCCATGGTTCATGTGGCCCAACTCTTTATGTATCCATATGTAAACTTGGTCCAACATGGATCATGAGCCCAACACATATAAATATAACTAATTAACACAAATAGTCCCCTTTGATCATGATATGCACAAAAGTACCCACTAATTTTAATATATATAACCTAACAAACTTAGACTAACTATGCACTTATAGGCAGTGTACCTAGTCAGATTACAGTATAGCTTAGGTAAGTCAGGTGTCGATCACAGGGAACGGTGGATTAATTTAATATATTTGATTATAGGTTACAGGTCACACGAAAAGAATAAAAGAGATAATTTAATAAATCTCAAACTAATAATTAACTAACCATTCTCGATAAACTAACATGAAAAATAAATCTCTTCAGGTACTTTGGTTTAGACAAATTCCACCTTAAAAACATAGACAATTGCATACACAAATTCATTTATTCATGTTCACCGATTCCTAAAATGATTAGATTCGCATTCACTATAACTAATCCTTTAGCAAACAAGTCAATTCAAACAGTGATCAATTGGTTAAACTAACATGCTTCCTAGTGTTCAGTTCGTATCAAGCAAGACTTGCAAATATAGTTAACCAAATTAAACATTCAATTAACCTCTTGTTGATGGTCATCAAACAAGGCTCACACATTAACTTACTTATTCCCATGTTAATCCTAGTTTCACATTCGTTATTCCTAGACTTATAATCTCGATGGTCATCAAAATATAAGAGACAAGCAATCAAGCATGTTCATACAACTCAATTCACTTAACAATTAACAGCAAATAATTATCATTAATACGTAAGGATCTTTTAACAAGCTTGACAAGATAAATTAAACACAAACAAACTATTTAATATAGCAATTAGTCTAATAATCAAAGCTTCATTCAATCATAAACTCAAAGTAAAAGGTTTTTACACCCAAGTCAGAAACTAAATACAGAATAGTAATACAATGGAATGCTAAACATGGTCACGTTAACAACCCATAGGATTACCGACACGTATCCGCTCTCCAACCCTTCCGATCTCCGCTCCCGTTAGCTTAACGGCCTTCCGGCCGCCTTCTAGACCCTCAAAACGGCTTAACAGAAGTTAATTGTCGACTAAATTAGGTTAGAAGTCGAATCCCCTTCCTGGTTAGCTGAAAATTGACATTTATAGTCTTTGTAGCCGACCTAAGTACGCTGGGCGTACATAAGATTACGCGGGGCGTACACAGGATTACTACGCGATTTGGAGTTATCTGAAGGCACCCAGTACGCGGCGCGTACCTTTAATTACGCGGGGCGTACGGCGCTTTTGAGCACTACGCTGGGCGTAATGCAACTTTACGCGGGGCGTAATCCACTTCTTGAGCATATTTCATTCCTTTTAGCTCCTAAGTCCGGTTTCCGCTTCAGTCTTTTCTTTTGTGCTTTATTGACAACGAATAGCTACAAAACGTAATTAAAAGTATTATGAGTACCTTTTAGTTATAAAATAGAATAAATAAGGCCAAAATATTAAGATAAAGTGCATATATATATATATATATATATATATATAAATACACATATAAAAATACCCCACACTTAGCCTTTGCTTGCCCCCAAGCAAATTTACTTTTATTTTACCAATATTGCACTAAACAATCCATTTAAAACTCAGCCATTATGCCAAGACCTCAACGCATGCATTTGTGTCTAAAATTTTCCTAAAGTACCCCCCATACTTTAAATACTCACAATCTTCATAAACACTTGCCCACTTTTTCCGAACAATGCTCATTTTATGCAACCCTCCGAATCCATCCGCAGAAAACCTCCTAACCTCAAGGTATTTTTAGTTGAGCAACCTAAGCATACATAATCTAGAATTACAATTATGATACCACTATGGGGCTTTTTAGGAATTCTTCACTTTCTTAACAATTTGATCTTTGATTTCTTTGAATTCACCACCTTATTTGATTTGATTTCTTGGTATCTTCAACTTTTTGAATTTCTTGGAATTTTGATCTTTTGATCTTCACTTTATTTGCTCCAAAATTCTTCAAACTTTTTCGTAATTCTCTCTCTCTCTTTTTTTTACATGTACCTCTCTTTTTTCACTCAAAACCTACATGCTTAAGCAGAGGCGCTCAACCTCAACCTTTATTGGTTAATGATAATAATTTTCCTGGATACATTTCAGGTTTAGGCTGCTAAACATATTGCATCCTTCAAACCTAGCGGGGTTATGTTTTTGTTCCATGATTTCACTAAAATAAGGGAAGCCACAAATGCACTATAACGTATATTGGCTCAACTAAACATTTGAGTTCTCATCGGATCATCTCATACAATATTAGCAAAATTTTAAATTATCACTAGATTTTTCTAAATTAAACTATTATTTCAAATTTTCTTTTAAATTTTTTAAATTCCCTAAATCTAGCAATTTCCAACTATTATTTCATTTTTATAATTTACTTTTACCGACCCCTACCCCACACTTATTTCATACAATGCCCTCATTGTATGCTAAAACAAATTAAGAACATAAAAAGGGAGAAAAAGGAACAGACTCCCCTGGGTAGTTGTGGCAGATCGAATGGGGCTGCTACAGGTTGCTTCAAATATTGCTGAAAACTGGAAACTGAACTGCTGCTTGTGATGTGCCGGAAAATAAAATCAAGACCGCCATCTTCAAAAAAATGTGGTGCAAAAGATCGCAAACAAATGCAATGTATAAAAAACCATGACGTGGAAAAGTGTCGACCACGTCATCTCGTCAAAAATGACATCCTCTTCTCGCGATGAAAAATCCCCCACAACAAGGAAAGTGTCAACCATGTCGTGGCAGTCGGGATGATACTTCTTCCTCGCGTCGAAATACAACTCTAATAAAGATTCACCCCACACTTATGACAAATTGTGGGTCTTGACTATAATCTTCGAACTCTCACACGGCTTCTCTAGCAACAGTCGGACCTAGCTGTTGAACTTACTGCCAGCTTTCTAAGGGCGAAAATTCTACAGAGATCTAAACAACCAAAGGCATCAACATGGAAAACAAAAGTAAAAACTAAACTAAATTAAAGATCTATTACACACCAAATAAAAATACTTAACTAAACTAAAAATAACACAAAATAAAAATAAAAATAAAAGGATAACTAAATCACTCATCATCTCCATCATCCTGCTGCGTCCCAGAAGTACCGGCCCCATCATATCGTGACTGAAATGGTGGTGGGTAGGGAACCGAATACTGAAAACCCTGGTGGACAAAGAATGCGTTCAATGCATTCCCTTGCCACCGCTGTTGCGTGTCCACATGTGCCACATAGTCGCTAAGGTTCTTGACCCTCATGTCAAGACGATCAATGCCCTGAGCTAAGTAGCGCATATCGATCTCCGGTTCAGGTCCCTGCTGCGCTCCCCGAGGAGCAGGTCTACGTTGCGGGACCCGTCTCGGTTGTGGCTCAGCGGCACCCTCCTCATCCGCCACATCGTCTGCTCGTACTCTCAAGACACCATCTCCACCCCTCTCCAATACACGCATCGAGTCTAACAGCTGAAGACTCATCGGCCTCATGTCGTGGAACACCATCGATCTCGTGATCTCACGCGTCAGCAACTGATATGACCGGGCTAAACGCGTGATAAAATGCCCTCCACATATCGGGCTGTCCCCCCTAAGTCCCCTGGCCCTCCGTCCCAAATATACAGCCAAAGCAACCGGAAGGTTCAGGTGCCTCCCGGGAGTAACTAGCGCCCATAGGAAATAAAGGTCTGTCGAAGGCACTCTCTCACTGTTCTTGTGATGTGTGAGAGAAATAGAAATCAACCGGTGCAACATTCGGTAGGTAGTAGACCGAATCATCCCCCCTCGCGCGGCAGATGGTGTATAAACTGCCCCGGTAATCTCGGCCCAAAAAGTGTTCTCGTTATAGTTATCTGGCCGCTCCGTAAGACAATCAGCAAGGAATGCCAGGAAGTGGACACTCCTCGTCTCATCGGCTGTGTAAATACCCACCCGAGTCGCAAGCTCTATCACGCTGCATTCCCGGCTCACTCCACCTAGTCTGAAGGCAAAAGCTGTCCTGTCATCGAGTGCCTTCCTATGATCATAGGAAACCGTAGCGTAGAACTCCAGCAAAAACTCCCGATAAACCGGATCCTGGATCCGGAACAAATGTGCCCATCCCTGGCACACAAACAAATCCACACCACTCGCGTCTGAGTGCGTGTATTGCAAAAATCCCTGGATCAATGCAGCTAGTCCAGTCCTGATAGCCAATTCCCAATCGAATCATGGTGCTATATCAATCTCTTTGGTGAGAAGCAAGCTCAAGTTGGTGACATAACGCGCCCGGGTAGCATCATTTAGCGTTTGCGGAAATTGCAAAAAGCGATGGTCAATCACATCCTCGGGTGGGTTGGTCCTTTGCGTCCTTCGAGCCATAACCTGCACAAATAAACAAAAACACAAAACCAAACAAAATATGGTAGCATTAATAAACTTTAAAACAACAAAATGGAGTCTGGATGGGGACAATACGCTGGGCGTACATCCAGGCTCAACAGATTTGTGTCGGTTCTTTTACTTGTGCATAAACCATACCCCAACTCAAAATAAACACAACAGGGCAACAAACTGTTAAAATTTCGTGGTCTAAATGCAGTAGACAAAAAAAAAACGAGACAATCCTTAAAAATCATCCCCCATAATTTCGTGTCTCATCAGAGAACCAAGGGTAGCAGTAAAAAAACTCGCAGTCAGTCAAGAATTCGAGGTCAACAGGGGTACGCTTGGCGTACGTCCCCGAGGTCAAATCGATGGGTGTGGAACGGAAATTATACGAAATTAGGTCCTAGGGTTTAGTGTATTAACCGAAATCGGTCCATTCAAGCCCCAATCAACATTTACATTTGCGAAATCAGCCCTAATTCAAGAACCCCATAAACCCTAGATTTCGAACTAAGGCTAAATGCAACTTATTCCTTCGATTTAAACACATATACATGATATTGAGTAACCGAAAAGCTTACTTGTGTGTTGATTTTGACAAGAAAACAAGCAAAGTCGTGGAGGTTGGAATGAAATCGCCGTCACGGTTCGAGTTTGAGAGAAGAATTGGGAAAAGAATAAAGAAGAAGTCAAAGGGTCAAAAGATATACCTGGTCGCCGTGTTACGCGGGGCGTAACTCTAAGTTACGCGGGGCGTAACCCTATCCCCATTGAAATTTCATACGCGATCAGACGTTTCATTACGCTGGGCATAATGTAACTTACGTGGGGCGTAAGTATAATTAAAAATTTCTTTCTTTTTTTAATTTAACTTCCTTTTCTTTTTATTATTTAATTGAGGGACTTAAACTTTAATTATTATTATTTTTTTCTTTTTAATTTCTTCAGCAAATGATGACTTCACGATGAGTGATAAAAAAAATGTGAGTCATCATAACCACTTATCTTTGTCGAAATCAAACGACAACGGTTAATCAAAAACCTTTGCATGCAAGAATTGGTTACGAAAATACCCGCTTTCGGGACCCGTTAGAATATTTCCTTTGTTTTCCTTGCACCTTTAACTAAAAGCGGAACAAGAAGTGACCTAACTAGTCAAGAACAGCAAGAGCTCGGCCTTCCACTTAACCACCACAATACGCCTCGCTATACTACGCCTCAAGGATTGAGTTGGACAAATCAACAAAGTAGTAGGCTAAGCAAGTCAAGAATTCCCAAATCGCTTTCATTCTCGAAAATCATGCAAAAAGTAACGTCAAGCAATGTGTACAATCCCGAATTCCTGTAAATAAAAACAAGAACCTTCCCGACAAGTGAAATGATATCATCGAAAATCAACTAAAAATAAAAACTAACTAAAGCTAATAACGAATAATCAAATAAACTAAATTAATGACAAGCCGTTCCCCGGAAACGGCGCCAAAAACTTGATGTGCACAAAAGTACCCACTAATTTCAATATTTATAACCTAACAAACTTAGACTAACTATGCACTTATAGGCAGTGTACCTAGTCAGATTACAGTATAGCTTAGGTAAGTCGGGTGTCGATCACAGGGAACGGTGGATTAATTTAATATATTTGATTATAGGTTACAGGTCACACGAAAAGAATAAAAGAGATAATTTAATAAATCTCAAACTAATAATTAATTAACCATTCTCGATAAATTAACAGGAAAAACAAATCTCTTCAGGTACTTTGGTTTAGACAAATTCCACCTTAAAAACATAGACAATTGCATACACAAATTCATTTATTCATGTTCACCGATTCCTAAAATGATTAGATTCGCGTTCACAATAACTAATCCTTTAGCAAAAAAGTCAATTCAAACAATGATCAATTGGTTAAACCAACATGCTTCCTAGTGTTCAATTCGTATCAAGCAAGACTTGCAAATATAGTTAACCAAATTAAACATTCAATTAACCTCTTGTTGATGGTCATCAAACAAGGCTCACACATTAACTTACTTATTCCCATGTTAATCCTAGTTTCACATTCGTTATTCCTAGACTTATAATCCCGATGGTCATCAAAATTATAAGAGACAAGCAATCAAGCAGGTGTTCATACAACTCAATTCACTTAACAATTAACAGCAAATAATTATCATTAATACGTAAGGATCTTTTAACAAGCTTGACAAGATAAATTAAACACAAACAAACTATTTAATATAGCAATTAGTCTAATAATCAAAGCTTCATTCAATCATAAACTCAAAGTAAAAGGTTTTTACACCCAAGTCAGAAACTAAATACAGAATAGTAATACAATGGAATGCTAAACATGGTCACGTTAACAACCCATAGGATTACCGACACGTATCCGCTCTCCAACCCTTCCAATCGCCGCTCCCATTAGCTTAACGGCCTTCCGGCCGCCTTCTAGACCCTCAAAACGGCTTAACAGAAGTTAATTGTCGACTAAATTAGGTTAGAAGTCGAATCCCCCTCCTGGTTAGCTGAAAATTGACATTTATAGTCTTTGTAGCCGACCTAAGTACGCTGGGTGTACATAAGATTACGCGGGGCGTACACAGGATTACTACGCGATTTGGAGTTATCTGAAGGCACCTAGTACGCGGCGCGTACGCTTTAATTACGTGGGGCGTACGGCGCTTTTGAGCACTACGCTGGGCGTAATCCACTTCTTCAGCATATTTCATTCCTTTTAGCTCCTAAGTCAGGTTTCCGCTTCAGTCTTTTCTTTTGTGCTTTATTGACAACGAATAGCTACAAAACATAATTAAAAGTATTATGAGTACTTTTTAGTTCTAAAATAGAATAAATAAGGCCAAAATATTAAGATAAAGTGCATATATATATATATATATATATATATATATATATATATATATATATATATATATATATATATATATATATATATATATATATATATATAAATACACATATCAAAATACCCCACACTTAGCCTTTGCTTGCCCCCAAGAAAATTACTTTTATTTTACCAATATTGCACTAAACAATCCATTTAAAACTCAGCCATTATGCCAAGACCTCAACGCATGCATTTGTGTCTAAAATTTTCCTAAAGTACCCGCCCATACTTTAAATACTCACAATCTTCATAAACACTTGCCCACTTTTTCCGAACAAGGCTCATTTTATGCAACCCTCCGAATCCATCCGCAGAAAACCTCCTAACCTCAAGGTATTTTTAGTTGAGCAACCTAAGCATACATAATCTAGAATTACAATATATGATACCACTATGGGGCTTTTTAGGAATTCTTCACTTTCTTAACAATTTGATCTTTGATTTCTTTGAATTCACCACCTTATTTGATTTGATTTCTTGGTATATTCAACTTTTTGAATTTCTTGGAATTTTGATCTTTTGATCTTCACTTTATTTGCTCCAAAATTCTTCAAACTTTTTCGTAATTCTCTCTCTCTCTCTCTCTCTCTTTTTTTTTACATGTACCTCTCTTTTTTCACTCAAAACTTACATGCTTAAGCAGAGGCACTCAACCTCAACCTTTATTGGTTAATGATAATAATTTTCCTGGATACATTTCAGGTTTAGGCTGCTAAACATATTGCATCCTTCAAACCTAGCGGGGTTATGTTTTTGTTCCATGATTTCACTAAAATAAGGGAAGCCACAAATGCACTATAACGTATATTGGCTCAACTAAACATTTGAGTTCTCATCGGATCATCTCATACAATATTAGCAAAATTTTAAATTATCACTAGATTTTTCTAAATTAAACTATTATTTCAAATTTTCTTTTAATTTTTTAAATGTCCCTAAATCTAGCAATTTCCAACTATTATTTCATTTTTATAATTTACTTTTACCGACCCCGTACCCCACACTTATTTCATACAATGCCCTCATTGTATGCTAAAACAAATTAAGCACATAAAAAGGGAGAAAAAGGAACAGACTCCCCTGGGTGGTTGTGGCAAGATCGAATGGGGCTGCTATAGGTTGCTTCAAATATTGCTGAAACACTGGAAACTTGAACTGCTGCTTGTGGATGTGCCGGAAAATAAAATCAAGACCGCCATCTTCAAAAAAATGTGGTGCAAAAGATCGCAAACAAATGCAATGTATAAAAAACCATGACGTGGAAAAGTGTCGACCACGTCATCTCGTCAAAAATGACATCCTCTTCTCGCGATGAAAAATCCCCCACAACAAAGGAAAGTGTCAACCATGTCGTGGCAGTCGGGATGATACTTCTTCCTCGCGTCGAAATACAACTCTAATAAAGATTCACCCCACACTTATGACAAATTGTGGGTCTTGACTATAATCTTCGAACTCTCACACGGCTCTCTCTAGCAACAGTCGGACCTAGCTGTTGAACTTACTGCCAGCTTTCTAAGGGCGAAAATTCTACAGAGATCTAAACAACCAAAGGGCATCAACATGGAAAACAAAAGTAAAAACTAAACTAAATTAAAGATCTATTACACACCAAATAAAAATACTTAACTAAACTAAAAATAACACAAAATAAAAATAAAAATAAAAGGATAACTAAATCACTCATCATCTCCATCATCCTGCTGCGTCCCAGAAGTACCGGCCCCATCATATCGTGACTGAAATGGTGGTGGGTAGGGAACCGAATACTGAAAACCCTGGTGGACAAAGAATGCGTTCAATGCATTCCCTTGCCACCGCTGTTGCGTGTCCACATGTGCCACATAGTCGCTAAGGTTCTTGACCCTCATGTCAAGACGATCAATGCGCATATCGATCTCCGGTTCAGGTCCCTGCTGCGCTCCCCGAGGAGCAGGTCTACGTTGCGGGACCCATCTCGGTTGTGGCTCAGCGGCACCCTCCTCATCCGCCACATCGTCTGCTCGTACTCTCAAGACACCATCTCCACCCCTCTCCAATACACGCATCGAGTCTAACAGTTGAAGACTCATCGGCCTCATGTCGTGGAACACCATCGATCTCGTGATCTCACACGTCAGCAACTGATATGACCGGGCTAAACGCGTGATAAAATGCCCTCCACATATCGGGCTGTCCCCCCTAAGTCCCCTGGCCCTCCGTCCCAAATATACAGCCAAAGCAACCGGAAGGTTCAGGTGCCTCCCGGGAGTAACTAGCGCCCATAGGAAATAAAGGTCTGTCGAAGGCACTCTCTCACTGTTCTTGTGATGTGTGAGAGAAATAGAAATCAACCGGTGCAACATTCGGTAGGTAGTAGACCGAATCATCCCCCCTCGCGCGGCAGATGGTGTATAAACTGCCCCGGTAATCTCGGCCCAAAAAGTGTTCTCGTTATAGTTATCTGGCCGCTCCGTAAGACAATCAGCAAGGAATGCCAGGAAGTGGACACTCCTCGTCTCATCGGCTGTGTAAATACCCACCCGAGTCGCAAGCTCTATCACGCTGCATTCCCGGCTCACTCCACCTAGTCTGAAGGCAAAAGTTGTCCTGTCATCGAGTGCCTTCCTATGATCATAGGAAACTGTAGCGTAGAACTCCAGCAAAAACTCCCGATAAACCGGATCCTGGATCCGGAACAAATGTGCCCATCCCTGGCACACAAACAAATCCACACCACTCGCGTCTGAGTGCGTGTATTGCAAAAATCCCTGGATCAATGCAGCTAGTCCAGTCCTGATAGCCAATTCCCAATCGAATCATGGTGCTATATCAATCTCTTTGGTGAGAAGCAAGCTCAAGTTGGTGACATAACGCGCCCGGGTAGCATCATTTAGCGTTTGCGGAAATTGCAAAAAGCGATGGTCAATCACATCCTCGGGTGGGTTGGTCCTTTGCGTCCTTCGAGCCATAACCTGCACAAATAAACAAAAAGAGTAAATTACACGAATGGTCCCTATGGTTTAGGGTAATTTGCACGTTTGGTCCTTAACTTATTTTTTTCACTTGGAAGGTCCCTACTGTTTGTTTTTGTTACGCGTTTGGTCCCTATCTTACCTAAAAAGACTATTATGCCCTTGATTTTTTTAATTTATTTAAATAAACACACCCCTAATCCCACCCTCACCTTACCTCACCTACCCCATCATTTTTTCCTTTTTAAATAATAGTCTTTTTAGATAAGATAGGGACCAAACACGTAACAAAAATAAACAGTAGGGACCAAATGCGTAACAAAAACAAACCATAGGGACCTTCCGAGTTAAAAAAGTAAGTTAGGGACCAAACATGCAAATTACCCCAAACCATAGGGACTATTCGTGTAATTTACTCAAACAAAAACACAAAACCAAACAAAATATGGTAGCATTAATAAACTTTAAAACAACAAAATGGAGTCTGGATGGGGATAGTATGTTGGGCGTACATCCAGCGTACGCTGGGCGTACGTCCAGGCTCAACAGATCTGTGTCGGTTCTTTTACTTGTGCATAAACCATACCCCAACTCAAAATAAACACACCAGGGCAGCAAACTGCTAAAATTTCGTGGTCTAAATGCAGTAGACAAAAAAAAAAATACGAGACAATCCTTAAAAATCATCCCCCATAATCTCGTGTCTCATCAGAGAACCAAGGGTAGCAGTAAAAAAACTCACAGTCAGTCAAGAATTCGAGGTCAACAGGGGTACGCTTGGCGTACGTCCCCGAGGTCAAATCGATGGGTGTGGAACGGAAATTATACGAAATTAGGTCCTAGGGTTTAGTGTATTAACCGAAATCGGTCCATTCAAGCCCCAATCAATACTTACATTTGCGAAATCGGCCCTAATTCAAGAACCCCATAAACCCTAGATTTCGAACTAAGGCTAAATGCAACTTATTCCTTCGATTTAAACACATATACATGATATTGAGTAACCGAAAAGCTTACTTGTGTGTTGATTTTGACAAGAAAACAAGCAAAGTCGTGGAGGTTGGAATGAAATCTCCGTCACAGTTCGAGTTTGAGAGAAGAATTGGGAAAAGAATAAAGAAGAAGTCAAAGGGTCAAAAGATATACCTGGTCGCCGTGTTACGTGGGGCGTAACTCTAAGTTACGCGGGGCGTAACCCTATCCCCATTGAAATTTCATACGCGATCATACGTTTCATTACGCTGGGCGTAATGTAACTTACGCGGGGCGTAAGTATAATTAAAAATTTCTTCCTTTTTTTAATTTAACTTCCTTTTCTTTTTATTATTTAATTGAGGGACTTAAACTTTAATTATTATTATTTTTTTCTTTTTAATTTCTTCAGCAAATGATGACTTCACGATGAGTGATAAAAAAAATGTGAGTCATCATAACCACTTATCTTTGTCGAGATCAAACGACAACGGTTAATCAAAAACCTTTGCATGCAAGAATTGGTTTCGAAAGTACCCGCTTTCGGGACCCGTTAGAATATTTCCTTTGTTTTCCTTGCACCTTTAACTAAAAGCGGAACAAGAAGTGACCTAACTAGTTAAGAACAGCAAGAGCTCGGTCTTCCACTTAACCACCACAATACGCCTCGCTATACTACGCCTCAAGGATTGAGTTGGACAAATCAACAAAGTAGTAGGCTAAGCAGGTCAAGAATTCCCTAATCGCTTTCATTCTCGAAAATCATGCAAAAAGTAACATCAAGCAATGTGTACAATCCCAAATTCCTGTAAATAAAAACAAGAACCTTCCCGACAAGTGAAATGATATCATCGAAAATCAACTAAAAATAAAAACTAACTAAAACTAATAACGAATAATCAAATAAACTAAATTAATGACAAGCCGTTCCCCGGAAACGGCGCCAAAAACTTGATGTGCACAAAAGTACCCACTAATTTCAATATTTATAACCTAACAAACTTAGACTAACTATGCACTTATAGGCAGTGTACCTAGTCAGATTACAGTATAGCTTAGGTAAGTCGGGTGTCGATCACAGGGAACGGTGGATTAATTTAATATATTTGATTATAGGTTACAGGTCACACGAAAAGAATAAAAGAGATAATTTAATAAATCTCAAACTAATAATTAATTAACCATTCTCGATAAATTAACAGGAAAAACAAATCTCTTCAGGTACTTTGGTTTAGACAAATTCCACCTGAAAAACATAGACAATTGCATACATAAATTCATTTATTCATGTTCACCGATTCCTAAAATGATTAGATTCGCGTTCACTATAACTAATCCTTTAGCAAAAAAGTCAATTCAAACAATGATCAATTGGTTAAACCAACATGCTTCCTAGTGTTCAATTCGTATCAAGCAAGACTTGCAAATATAGTTAACCAAATTAAACATTCAATTAACCTCTTGTTGATGGTCATCAAACAAGGCTCACACATTAACTTACTTATTCCCATGTTAATCCTAGTTTCACATTCGTTATTCCTAGACTTATAATCCCGATGGTCATCAAAATTATAAGAGACAAGCAATCAAGCAGGTGTTCATACAACTCAATTCACTTAACAATTAACAGCAAATAATTATCATTAATACGTAAGGATCTTTTAACAAGCTTGACAAGATAAATTAAACACAAACAAACTATTTAATATAGCAATTAGTCTAATAATCAAAGTTTCATTCAATCATAAACTCAAAGTAAAAGGTTTTTACACCCAAGTCAGAAACTAAATACATAATAGTAATACAATGGAATGCTAAACATGGTCACGTTAACAACCCATAGGATTACCAACACGTATCCGCTCTCCAACCCTTCCGATCTCCGCTCCCGTTAGCTTAACGGCCTTCCGGCCGCCTTCTAGACCCTCAAAATGGCTTAACAGAAGTTAATTGTCGACTAAATTAGGTTAGAAGTCGAATCCCCTTCCTGGTTAGCTGAAAATTGACATTTATAGTCTTTGTAGCCGACCTAAGTACCCTGGGCGTACATAAGATTACGCGGGGCGTACACAGGATTACTACGCGATTTGGAGTTATCTGAAGGCACCTAGTACGCGGCACGTACGCTTTAATTACGTGGGGCGTACAACGCTTTTGAGCACTACGCTGGGCGTAATGCAACTTTACGCGGGGCGTAATCCACTTCTTGAGCATATTTCATTCCTTTTAGCTCCTAAGTCCGGTTTCCGCTTCAGTCTTTTCTTTTGTGCTTTATTGACAACGAATAGCTACAAAACGTAATTAAAAGTATTATGAGTACTTTTTAGTTCTAAAATAGAATAAATAAGGCCAAAATATTAAGATAAAGTGCATAAATATATATATATATAAATACACATATCAGATCACTAAATTAATTCTAAATTAATTCTTGAACAATACTAATTAAAACATATGATTTCATGTTAATATATTAGAAGTTATAATATATTAATAAATCATATATAACCTTCTCTCAAGAGTCCATCCTAACAAATTGTCCTAGTGTTATGCAACCCAAATAGACCATGCTACTCTCGGGTCGAGTACATACCAATAATAGTTATAGACTTATCCATCTAATCCAACAGTCTCCCACTTGGATAAGTCTAAAACTATTATTGCAAATATGACTACAAGATCCCGACTAGCAATCGTAGCTCTTAAAAGCTGCTGTCGAACTCTGACCTAGTCAATGACGTGTCCATTAGATAAGGGATCATATATTCCTCCATTCTAGAACTCTAACCTAGTCAATGACGGTTATTTACTCTGTGGGTTGCCGTGTGCGAAAGTGTCTCCTGTATCATCGCTTGCCATATGGTTAAACCATGTTCTTCAATTCCTAGAACATAGTCATCAAAGTGTAACGCCCAGACTTCATAATCCCGTGGGAAGAGAATTGGAATCTTGTAGTGGATCCAATACTACTAGAAATATTGAAAGATAGTGAATGAGGATCTTCGTTTTTCATGATGTCAAGAATTCACTAAAACGAATATAGAATCATATGTGTAATAAGTGAATGGGATTTAGGGTAAAAACCAAAGATCTAGATTTGAAGTCTACAAGTGATAGAAACGATCGATACCACAAGAACAGATCAAAGAAAAATACAAAACCCTAATAGAACTCGACAAAAGAGTATCGAATGAGTTACACTATCTCCTGCTCTGATACCAATTGTAGAAACAATATATATATGATCGATAGATTCTATAGTGAATAACGTGAAATAAGTGACAAGAATAATGATCAGAATAGTGTCAAATGCTTTGATTATAATAACCATAGAAGAGTTCAATGAGAACTTCTCTGTAAGAGCTATGTAGGGCGACAAAATGTTAACCTTAATCGATACATGCATGCAATATTTATAGGCTAGACTGTAAACATAAACACGAGAATGGATAGGCCCATCTCGGAATAAGTAAACCTATACAAAATATATTTGACACAATATTAATAAGCCCAACAAGAATGCCCAGAAATTCAAGATAAGTTGAATGCGATTAGCATGATCAATAAGCCTTTTTTCAGTGTAAAGAAAATTATTGGTAAGCAATATACAGGTGTTTTTCTTTTTTAAAGTAGAAAGAGATTTTTCTAGAGAGAAAAGTTTTTCTTTGAAAGTATTTAGCTCAATAATAAGAGAAGTTTTTTCTTTATTTGAGATAAATAAATTAAAACATAGTAGATCGATCGTGTCATCTTTTTCGAGATTATGAATAAAAGAAGAACTACCATGATTTTTACCTGATACGTTGATGCATCATCCCTTTCTGGCTTGAGATTATCAGCGGTAGACGAATTAGCATCAAGAGTCCCAATGCTATCACGTGAAGTGTCATCATGAGATTCAACCGTTGGAATCATAAAACACTTAGCTTCATCTATCAACATTAGTCCTTTTTATTTATTTATTTATTTTTTCTTTTTTGTTACTTAGTAAGTTTAGTCGTATATATATATATATATATATATATATATATATATATATATATATATATATATATATATATATATATATATATATATATATATATATATATATATATACTTTTTGGTCTTTTGATGGAAATTTTAATCACTGTGTGGGTTTCTTTGACAGGTTTATTCCCTGTTAATTTTATTTTTTTGATTTTAGTCATTATTTTTTTTTTGACAAGTACTTTTTTTTTCTCTTTTAAATTGGAGTTAGTAAGTGTTACAGATGTTCATATTTCCAACGACACTTGCCACCCTTCAACTTGGTGAATTAATAATTTTCAGCCTTTTGATTTGTAAAATGTCATTTTTAGTCCCTCGTCTTAGAACTTTCTTAAATATCAATTTCACCCCTCTATTTTCTAAAGTTTCATTTTTAACCTTCGCAGTTTATAAAATGATTTTCCTACAGCTACTACCCTCAGCTCTGTCAAATGTCACATTGACCCCTAGTTTTTACTTTATAAAATTGTCACTTTCATCATCTTGACTTTCTAAACATTGGTGTTTATCAATGATATTGACATTGTATGTTTATCTATCAACAAATGCAATAATATCTTATCTTTATCGATACAATGATCAAAATTCAATTTACAAAATGTATTGGCATCGCCACGAGTTTCAAACAAAATGCTAGTTTAAATTAACATGGGAAATATAATTCTGATATTTAATTTTGTATATTTATGTAGAGGGTTAATAAAGTTAACACTAACAAATATATAATACAAAATTAAATTCGATATTATGTAATTTGTTTTGATAGGGCTTTTTAAAAGAGGAAGAAACAGTTTCATGTGGGCTTCATCGCTTTCCTTTTTGGGCTTTTAAGAGCAAAAGAAATATGTTTAGGTACAACTTTGAAATGTAGAGGGTACAACATTGTATACGAATACCATTGACATATTTAATAGGAAAAAAAGTTTTTATTGGGGTTAGATTTTGAGGTATTAAGTTTCTTAAGTTTTGGAAATCAAAATCGCATCTATTAAATATTAAATTAATAGGATATTTTTAGTAAATTAGATACGCATGCACCAACTTATATTCAAAATACACTTAACTTTAATTTTTGTCTTTTTATCGTTAAAAACTTATTTTTAATGAAAAAAAAATCTAAAAGTATCAAATTCTTAGTTTTTTGTGTTATAAATAAACACCTATATTGATTGATGTCCACATGTGCACATTTGTTGTTGTATACGTAAAATTCTCTACTGTAATAAAATAGTACTCAAAAGACACATGGCTTCTTCTTGCACCCTTCTTTCAAAGTGGATTTCCTAAAATGCCCTTTGATGCATAAAACGATTTTGATATGAAAACATCTCGTGAAATCAGCAATAATTTATCATCAGATCAACAAAAAATCAGGAACTCCAAATTTGAGTAGATTACTTAGGGTGTGTTTGACACAGAACGTTTGAGAGCTTCTAGTTTTGAATAGAAAGCTTCGTTCGGCACTACAAGCTTCTAGAGTTTAATTTAAACAGAACGCTAAAAATCCAAATGCTACTTCATGTAGCGTTTAACAAAACACTACAAGTTACAAGCTACAAGCTACCTGTTATAAGTCATCCGCTACCAGCTAATTTTGTCCAACACGTCCTTAGGCTGTCTGCTTGACTTCATATCATTTAGACGTTTTAAACCATCGTGGAAGAAAAAAGTGAATCATTGTGAGAAAGTAGAAAATTTTGCAAACTCGCATATAGGTGTTCAATTGAAGAGCCCTATTTTTGGTCTCTCTCTCTCTCTCTCTCTCTCTCTCTCTCTCTCTCTCAAACCTTAATAAATTGATTTCTTAATTTTTTTGGGTATTACTTAATCATATGAAACGGTTACTTAATTCTTTTGACTTTTTATAATCACTATGTGTTGTTGATCCCTTGCCAACAAATGTTGATTTCAATTTCCGAAAGTTCAATTTAAGTTGTTCGTGATTTTTTCTTTTTTTAGCTCAATGCTAATGAGATTCGTGGATATTGAGCTCTTGAAGATGGAATTAATTGGGATGAGGTTTCTAAGTGGTAGTTTTTACCTTGCTTTAGCTTTGAATACCCACATGTTAACAATGTTCTATCATACCCAATTGTTGTAATGTTGAGTAGAAAAGAAGAATTTGAAGCATACTGAAGTATATAGTTTGATTATCATTCAATATGTCTTCACTAGAAAGGGAATGTGTGTAATAGTAATAACAATTCTATATTTTCTTTGCTTATTTTATATCTGCAACCTTTATAGTTATGGAAATATAGAGATTATTTCATCAAGAAAGATGCAGAAGTTGCTCCTACTTACATAGAAAAATTAATGAAATCAAATATGTCATGTTATGAAAAAGGGAAGTGATTCGTATACAATAATTTTTTGTCATACATAACTGTGCATTATATAGTTGTACAATATAACATTTTAAAGCATCAATTGTTGTGTATGGAAAAAATTATTGTGTATGGATCAACTCTTTATGAAAAAAAGGTGGGTCTTCATCTTTAGAGTAAATCAATGCGTTTAATGATATCTAAATTGGAATTGTTTAATGATATCTAAATTGGAATTTATTAAAGTATATGTATTACATGTTTGATCAACTCAATTAAACCCCTTAATTTGTTACTCTTGAATGTTTTATGTGACATGATGGCAAAACAATTATGGAGAAGATACGCACAAACATGATTAAACAAACACGTTTTCCCTGTAAGATATTTGGTCTAGCAAGCATTCATGTACTTTTGTAGTAAGATTTAATATGTAAAACTAAAATATGTCAATAAAATATTGGAGTTGGTTTGCAAAGAGAAATTTGACAGATTGCAAGGTTTCAATTGAAACCTTACTGGATGTTCAATGTTTAGAGAGAAAAAAAAAATATATGAATTTCATTTATAAATTTATAACTTAAGTTGCAAATAAAGCCCTTTTAACCTTTATCAATTGACCACTTACGTTTTAGATATAAAAACTACACCAAAAAGCAAACCATTTGTGTATGTATTTGGAGTGTGTTCCAAAGACAATTTTTTTTTTGTTGGCATCAGTTGTCAATATCTCACTAATATATAAAGTGGGCGACTTATATTTTTTTAAATGCTCTGCTTACATTTTTAAGTAAATAACTTAGGCATAATATCACAAAGGTTATTTTTGTCATCATTTTGGTACATAAGATTTAGTTTGTTCTTTATTATAATTTTTAAAAAGTAACTATTACATAAGATTTAGTTTGTTCTTTATTATATTTTTTAAAAAGTAACTATTTTCAAATATATGATTAATGATTACAATATATACATTTCAATCTTGTTTCACTTTGCCAACAACATAAACCATCTTGTAATCTATTCAACCTTTTATAAAGTATGATGCTCTAATAGAAAATAAATTGGGATTTCTCTTGCAAAGATTTGATTAGTCGTTACAATTTTGAATTTTGAATAATGTTTTTCTTTTTTAATTGTGTTTTTCATGGATTTAAACCTACTGTGCATATATACACATCACTCCAAACAAACATTTTCTTCTTCAACAAATCAGTTTCTATAGCATTGTCTAGTTTATTAAAACGTTTTTTTTTTAAAAACATTTTCATGGGTTTCTAGTCTATTAAAACGTTTTCATAGGTTTCTAGTCTATTAAAACGTTTTTTTAAATTGGAAAAAAATTCACAAATATTCATATATGCACAACCATAATTGGGCATGCATCTATTTGTGATGAGCTCATGTACAAATTTATGTTTGTACAGACATGCATAATTTTGTTTCTGCTCATATGCATTATTTATATGTAAAATGTGCATATATACACATTATTTGAAAATTAATTATTTTTCGTATTTTTTTTCAACGAATGACATTTTATAGAAACAATTTGTTCTATTAAGATTTTTTATTTATTTATTTATTTTTTTTTACAAAAGATATCGAAAAAAAAAGAGTTATTAGTTTTTTTTATCTATGCACAAAGAGATGTGTTAGTTTAATACATAACAAAAAAAAAATTACAAAAAGGAAAATGACACATTTGTCAAATAAAATAATTTGAATTTTTTGAATCGGTCTCTTAACTTATTTTTGTGCTTTATGAGGAAATAAAATTGTTTTTATCGGGTTTAATTGTTCATTTTTTTGAAGAATAGAATAGGTAAACGAGTTACCTATATGCCACCTCATTTAATGAAATGCAAAATGTCTTTTGTGTTTTTCTAATTTTTATTTATTTTAGTTTATATGTTTATTAATATTATATGTACATTTTTATATTATTAGGAAAATAGATCAAAGTCTCTTCCCTACAAAAAAAAATTAATTGAATTTAACAATCCCCGTCTTCTTCTTCATCCTTCACCCTCGATCAATCAATCTTTTCTTTGTTCTTCAAATCGTTAACAACTATACATTTTTCTTGTTGTTTCTCATTTGTTGTTTTCTCAAATTCATCCACTTCATTTGTCCCAATTTCATGATTAACCCCCTTAATAATTTCATCAATTATTGTGTTTTTGGTTTTTTATTCCATCGTCCCTTTTGAAACTTGAAGAATTTTAAATACCCTTTCCTAGTATTGTTATATCTGTTTTATAAACCATCTTATATTTATATTACTCTGAAGTGTCTAGTGAAGTGGGTTGATTCTTCTTGCCGGTGTTAGAGGTGGTTGAGTTCAGTGGACGGTGCCATAGTGGTTGTTTTCCAATGAGTTGGATGGTGGTTGGAAGCCATGAGTATCTTGATGATCGCTGCTTATTTTTTAATATGGATCTATTAGTGTAACATTCCCCTCTGGCACGTATCACAATATTGTTCGCTTTGGGCTCCCGACATGACAACTTCCCAGGGGTCACCCATCCCTGGATTGCTCTTACCGGAGCACGCTTAACTGTAGAGTTCTTATGGGATCAACTG